ATGCATGCTTACATTCTAAATTGATTTTCTTCAAACAATCTTCAAAGTTACAATTAAAATCAATAATTTGTTATGAGGGTTTTCTGTAAACAATACCCTCAATAATATTCTTTCTTTGTGATAGCATTATTTCAATAAAAAGTGATTCATAATTTTGTGATTGTTCTAATAAATCTGTCCGAACTGCATAATTCAATGAATCAGAAATCAAGAGAGCTACTCCTCCACCTTTCCCAAGATTCCGATCAGAATGAACAAAAGCATAACCATTCATATCAAACAATAAAGGGGTACTGTTATTAATCCAGGTTTCTGAACATCCATAGAAAGAAAAGTTGAACGACAATGTAGATACAAATTCAGATATCGCATCGAATTTTTTGTTCAAGCTACGAGAGTTAAAGTGCAGTAAGCTAAAGCTATTATTTACATTTTTAAAACTGTCTATAAATCGATCATCTAAATAGTATTTGCAATTAAAATCAAATTCTAAATCAAAATCAGAATCACTATTCGAATTAAATTGTTTATACAAGTTATTCAAATCTTGAGTTCCGAGCGATTGAGTATTGGCGCTGTCAATATACATATCAATCAATTCAGTATCGTCGATATCATTGAAAGGAAAAATAGAATGGAAGCATCATGGAAATTGACATTGACATACATGTATACATGTATATCATGTAAATCATCTATAGAAGTATGAAGATCATCATGATAGTTTCTGCAATGGGAACAAGTGAATGAATCCGTGTTTACTGCAAGTTTTCAATCTGCACAAAACATCACAACAACTGATAATTAACATCAAACATAAAACTCAAAAAAACATTAAAAGGGGAAATCAAACAACAACGGTTATAGTATATGTGATAAAAAGATAGCTACGGTGTTTCGATTGATATAACAAAGAAAGTTATTCATTTACCTGGATAACATACAATATAATATTGATGAAAAACAAAATCAAAGTATATGGGAGTAGTCATCGGACTATTTCCCCATGTCTTGAGAACACAATAAATATCAATCCTCCACTCAAGATAAAATATTTTCAGGCGGTTTCTCGATTGAATTGTCTACATGGTGTCAATCAAATATGGCCTCTTCTTTCGTCAGACTCAAGTGAAATACTTTAGTTATTAATAATATTCGTGTCCTGGCAATGCAAAATATCAAATAAATTCCAAATTGAGCGGTCGATAACTTAGTTTAACAATATTCAGGTATCAAGCAGAATGCACAAATATGTACAATATACAAATAAGTGAACTTAACAGTTTTAACATATATTACTAGAAAAAAAGGTTGGAAAACGCCCACCGAAATCATGAATTAAAAAAACAATAATAATATGACAATGTATACCGATGATGATTAGAGTATTATTTAATCAAAATTGGCCTGTTTGCGAACCGTTAGTCATCACGCAAATCAGATATGAGATGATAAATGCAGTCAATAAAACATATAGACCTTATCTAATGATGCAAGTACTAGTACGTTAATATTTATTCTATGATTTGTTTGTATAAAGATGCCTAAAGCCCCATTGTACTACTTGTAGCTACTTGCCCCCGCTCGGTCCCCGGGCGGTCGCCGCCCGGGCACCGACCTAATCGAGAGTTCGCCGCCGAGCGTTTTAGGTCAAAAACCGAAGCTGCTTGGTCAAAAGCTGCCGACCGATTATAAACTTGCCGCCCAGTAACCGACTGATCTCCCAGCGGCGAGCAGACGGCGACCGCTCGGCAGCCTTTGACCTAGCGGCTTCAATTTTTGACCAATCGCTCGACGGAGAACGCTCGTTGCAATTTTCCGGGTATCCAGCGTATTTTGAATGGCGAGTAAAAAGTGAGCAGACGCCGCCGAATTTTAACTCCGCGTTAAAACTTAGCGATGCCATTAAAACAAGCAGGGGCCGGGCGGCCGCCGCGCGGCCCCCGGACGAAATTGGCTCAAAATTCTTTGCCCGGCCGCCGAGCAGTCTACTTTTTTGGGGTGTGACGATAGCTTTAGGGAAATGATGCAAACAAACACGATGCCCGGAAGTGCTAACTACACATCCCAAACCGAACTATTCAAGAGATTCATTCTAGAATGGAGCATGGAAAGTTATCATAGTCAGATCTTCGAGAGACATTCCTTACATTCCTTGTTCTAGATACCTCCCCCCCCCCCTCACTCTGAGTACAGCACATGGGCAAGGGACTTGTTAAAATTGCTCAGATGAGAGGAAATGGTGCGAAGGTAGTGACTTCCATGGGGCATGGTTTGCTTCAGCTCCAAATTTCCCCCAAAGAACGCCACATTTGCACACACACATGTATTGTTATTATTATTATCATTATTATTATCATCATTATTATTATAATTATTATTACTATCATTATTATCATTATTTCGGTGGAACTTCCATTTCTTTATCAAACATTACTTTATTTTATAATATAGAAATAATATTATTTTGAATCATCATATGTGTTCACAAACCCACGCACACGCACTCACAACTAATCGTAAACGCATTTATATAAACACATCATTTCATTCAAATGTTTTAAAGATCGACTGTCATAGCTAGTTGTAGCAACACCACTTACTGTGTACGCTGACAAAACTACACTCACATAATGTTATCTGGGCCAGTAACATTATTGCAGGAACAACTTACCTCGATAATCGTATTGAGTCGTGAACTTGTAATGGCTACAGTCCTGCTGCCATTACTCGCTTCCCTATACATTAAACGAGTACTGCTTGCCTTTACCTTCCTCAACCCGTATTACCCGGCCGCGTGTGAACTATCTCAGCTCTATAATATTTTAAAGTCCACTCCAAATTGTATTAAGTTAAACCGAAAATGGAAATTCTTTTGTCCAAGTGATCGTGAGCCCGGCAGCCACTAAGCAGCGCCAGATCGATGTTGCTCTATCCCTTATTGTTGAACGCCAAACAAGGTAGCAGCAACTCCTGTCGTTTAATGTCTTTTGGTATGACCCACGACCTCCCGGTTGTGAGGCGGACGCTCTACTGACTGAGCCAACACACCGGTTAAAGGGTCAAAGTATTCTGGATATGCTTATCAATTTATGTGAGCGTATGTTTATGGATCTCTGAACAGAGGAGGAGCTTAATCACCATAAATTATGTCATTATTTACTCAAACACAGTACAAACAAAATTGCTACGTGCTCAGTCAGGAATAGGCCAACATGACCCTTTCACTATGTAGGATTGCCGACACCAAGTCGATTTAAATATTTTTTTTTATAGTTTACTACGTCGTTTTCCGCATAGGTCTACCCCATCCAGAAAGAAGACATATATTCGCTTTGAGGTTTCTTTGTGATTTTTCTTCTAAATAGTGCCCTTTTTCTTGTTGCTTCCAATACACACCCACTTTACCCCCCCCCCGACCATGGGTAGGAGACTGTAAACTTGCGATTTTTTAGAGGACTTGCGGTTGAATACAATAAATCGCAACTATTTATATAACATGACCCTGGGCACCTAAACAAAATAGAATAACAAAGTAGGATCAAAGAAATAACAAAAACATGGAACACATTACAGTAATAAATTAGTTCCAATAAAGACCTGGTGACATATGAAAGAAGAGAAATCAAGCCTTTTAATGATGTATACATAAATAAAAGCGTAATTTGGGATTATTGTGTAATATGTCATTAAACGTCGGTTGCATTTGTTCAGACACCATGTACAATCAGTAAACCATCGACCTTAGAACTGGAGGGATCCTGATTGGGTATGTCTATACCCATAAACGTGCAAACAAATAATATGATCGGCAGAAAAAGTCATGGCCGTTGATAACACAAGCTGTATTTCAGGTCTTGTCACTTAAAACCGTTTGTGAATTACAACTTTTGAAGAAAAAACGTTGTTTATATGGCCGGATATTCGACGTTTCACTGCAAATGCCAGACAGGTAAGTTCTGTTTATGTCTGGTGTGATTGAAATTAATATCAAGTATATCTTTGTTAAACTTATGACGATGAATGCAAGCTATCATAATGAATATGACAATCATGGTTTGTGCAAGCACAGGTATAATACCATGATATGTATGCTTTGAACAGAGGTGAGTTAGAGCAAGTGCGTGTTTTAATGTATAGTCTAGTGTACCATTACTCGCGATATTAAAGTGTGCAGTTTTGATGATGTTTTATTGGAAATACTGAAGTAATTTGTGTGAGAATGACGACGTAAATGATTAGTTGATCGCCCTTTGCGAACCACTTGTTAAAAGGCTCGTGCAGATATGACGCAGCAAACAGCCGCGATTTGTTATGATGTCGTATAGTGAAAATACGCTGAATATTACTGCACCTTAGCACAAAGCTCAGCGAATACCTTTGCTGCGTGCAGTTGACATCGATTTACACGTACACAAATCGAAGCGGCTGTTCTGGTTGCGGTTTACCGCACCTTATCCCAACAAGCCTTTTAATAGTCACTGAAGTTTTTGAATTATATAAAAATGTATCTGCGATCAGTGATATGCTCTTTAGTCCGTCACAGATAAAAGGGCCAATCATTAATCTCTATGCAGCTTGAATTGCTTAATCAAATAGGCCTCTCTAGTCGACATGTCTAACATAAATTGTCCGACGAAAAATAAATTGATATATATAAATATATATATATATATATATATTTGATCCTTGTTTTTCTCTCCCTCTCCGTCTCCTCCTCTCTCTCTCTCACCCCCTCTCTCTCTCTCTCTTCCTTTATCTCCATAGAGTGTGCGAATGAACGAATATACTTCCACCGTGATAATGCTTTTGGACGCAGTACTTTGTAGTGATTAAATGATCAAATGTATATTTTTCTGCACGTGCACAACAGTTACCAGCCTTTTTATATTGCATTAGCACAATCCTAAAAAAACACGCATTTTACTTTTCACCTAAAAAGGGAAAAATCAAATTTAAATTGGTTTGGTCAGGAAAAAAAAGTATAAAGTCGCCACAAAATGGCGACTTTATGTGAAATTAATCGAAACGGTTTCGATCTAAGTGATAAATCACTTGCCAAATACTTCAAAAAAACCTTGAAAAAAGTAAGGTCAGGTGGTAAGGATGAACCAACAGGCCGGGATCCTCGGTTCAGTACAACAGCTCATGAGGACACAGCCGGAAAATCTGCCCTAGCTCCAGCCGCTTGGAGAGATATTCCCACCCGTACAGATAATCACGTAGCTTACATAGCTAAGTTAAGTGACGTCAACTTGGATCAATTTACTGGCCTGCACTTGGCTGCGTTGAATGGCAATTTAGAAGAGGTGCAGCGGATCCTTAATGATGGAGCTCCTGTGGACGTCACATCTACCCAAGGCCATACTGCCTTACATCTTTCTGTTTTGATGGGCCATCCCCACATCGCAGAATTGCTCTTAGAGAGAGGAGCGGACATAACGAGGGAAATCAGTGAAGGTGTCAATGGTTTACACTTAGCTGCGTATAAAGGGTTCCTGAGCACATCTCGATTCCTGGTTAGTAACGGAGCTGAGGTAAATAAAGAAACCAGCGAAGGAATCACAGCGCTACATCTATCAGCTCTACAACGTCATCTCGACGTCACAGATTATCTCATCAGTGGGGGAGCTGAAGTAAATAGATGCATTAATGGTGATATAACTGCTCTTCATGTTGCTGCACTACAAGGAGATTGTGACATCATCGAACGCCTCGTAAAGGGTGGGAGTGAGGTGAACAAAGTAACCACTAAAGGATCAGCTGCCATACATATTGCTTCTCTAGCAGGGCATGGCAATGTCACAGAGTACTTAGTAGATCATGGGGCTGATGTGGAAAAGAGTAATAATGACGGATATAATGCTCTCCATTTAGCTGTACGAGATGGTCACCGTAATGTTGTCAGGTCTCTCCTAAATAAAGAAGCTGATATCAATACCTGTACGCATAATGGCGTAAATTCTCTCCACATTGCTGTACGAGAAGGCCACCAGGAAATCGTCGAATACCTCATCAGCCGAGGATCTGATGTAAATAAGTGCGACGATAAAAAATCGAACGCATTGCATATGGCTGCGCAAAATGGTCATCTCGGCATGATCAAATGTATACTGAGCAATGGGGCTGACATAAATAGTTACAATAGAGCTGGATGGACAGCCTTGCATCTTGCATCAAAGGCTGGACATCACAGTGCCGCAGCGTATCTAATTAATCAAGGAGCTCGTGTGAATAAGGTCGCTCATAACAAAGTAACACCTCTGCACATAGCTGCCCAGGAGGGTCACTTGAACGTATCAAAACAACTCGTTAGCCAGGGAGCTAAAATAGAAAGAGGTACTAGAGATGGATTGACTGCCTTGCATCTTGCTTCAACAGAAGGTCACTTCGCAGTTACCGAGTATCTTCTTGGTCAAGGTGCAAAGGTCAATGAAAGTACTACGGGTGGAATCAACTCGTTGCATTCTGCGTGCAGAAACGGTCACACTAAGATTGTAACATCTCTGATAAGTAAAGATGCTGACATAACAAAAGGAGACGAGTTTGGAAGGACACCATTACATTTTGCTGTGCAGGGTGGTCACCTGGATACCATCAGATATCTGGTTCGCAAGGGAGCTGATATCCATCTAGAGACCAATGACAGAGTAACTGTTTTACATATTGCTTCTGCAAATGGATATGTTAACGTCATAGAATATCTTATTGGACGAGATGCTAAGGTAAATCAAGTAACGAAGAACGGATTGAGCCCTTTGCATCTCGCTGTCATAGGTAACCACTTTGATGCGATGAGATGTCTCCTGGAGCATGGTGCGGAAGTGGATAAAGCTAATACAAATGGGGCGACTGCCTTTCTTCACACCTGTAACAAAGGTAACATCGATGCCATGAGGTGTCTACGCGATCACGGAGCAAATGTGAACAAAGTCAATCCGGATGGAGTCTCTGCCTTGTACGTCTCAACACTGAATGACTATCCTGACATAGTAGAATATTTGATTAACGAGGGAGCAAATGTAAACAGAGTCACACGTGGTGGGGACACTGCCTTGCATGTATCATCCTTCTACTGCAATCTCAGAATTACAGAGTTATTGCTTAGTCATGGAGCTAATGTGAACCACGAAAGTTCTGCAAAAAAAGCAACCTCTCTGCATTTAGCCGCTGCTACGCATGTCCTCGATATCGTTAAATGCCTTGTCAACCACCAAGCTCAGGTAAATACAAAAATGGAGGGTGGAATCACTGCTTTACACACTGCATGTATGTTTGGAGATTCTTCTATGACAGAGTTTTTGATTTCATCTGGAGCCGATGTAAATCTGCGCACCAACCAAGGGCTAAGCTCTTTACACCTTGCCGTCCAGGCAAAGCCATCTGAGAGCACTTCTCAAAGTGCAACAGCATCTAATCGACTTGATGTTACGAAAATTCTCTTGAGTCATGGAGCCGACATCAATGAGAATTGTTCCGTCTTTTGGACATCGAATTATTCACCGGCTTTCCCAATTCTTCATCAATTTGAAGAAGCCATCTGGAATGAGGATGTTGATTTAAAGAAGATTGCCGAGTCCATCATGTCTAATACGGGAACTCCATTACATGCTGCTTCAGGTCTTGGTCATGTAGATGTCCTGGAATATCTTCTCGATAAAGGAGCTAAAATGAACGAGAAAGACAGCTTTGGGATGACAGCCTTGCACGTGGCTAGTTGTGCAGGTCATCTTGATTCCATCAATCTCCTGCTTAGAAACGGAGCTGATGTAGAAAGTAAAACTAAAGGTATCACTGCGCTCCATCTCGCAGCGCTGACCGGCCATGCTGACATCGCACAATCTTTAATGATCGGAGGGGCTGAGTTGAATAAGAAGAATACATTTGGACTGGCTGCTCTGCATCTCGCGTGTTTGAAAGGTCATGCTGACGTCGCGGAGTACCTTCTTAGCCTGGAGGCGGAAATGAACGAAGAAGGCATCATTGGTACTCCGTTGCACTCGGCCGCAAGGGAGGGTCATTTGGACGTTACAAAGTGTTTGGTACGTCATGGGGCTGATCTGAATAGGAGCATGAAAACCGGGGCAACTGCACTGCACATTGCTTCTGAGAAAGGCCATGCTGATATCGTAGAATGCCTTCTTAGCCAGAGAGGACCAGTCCACATCGCATCAACTTATGGGGAAACGGCAGTACTTCAGGTAATCAAATTTTGTTTAAACCAGCTAGTGGATTTATGACAAGGTGAAATACAAAGTCCCGAGAGGAACAGTTCTCATTATTTTGATCAGGTGGTTGTCTGGGCCAATATTCTAAACTCTTACCAATCCTAGTTGGAAACTATGCACTAGAGCATCCCCTTTCCGAAACAAAAGTTTCGCGTCATCCCAATCCCGAATTCGTTTACAGGAAATTAATTTTGCATCACTCTGACTCTCGTCAAGTGACATGGTCACATACAGTGGCGTACGCATGATTTTTGCAAGGGGGGGGGGGGGGGGGGGTTAACATTAAAAAATCGCACCGAAAATTTCGCAACGACTCAGCCAGCCGCTGAATAAACGGGGGGGGGGGGTGCAAAATATTTTGTTTTGGTCCAAAAAATCTCGCAACGACTCAAATTTATTAAATTTTTATTTTTTTGAGGGGGGGGGGGGTCCTCAAAATCACACGCATTAAACACATTTAGAGGGGGTTTGACCCCCCCCCCCCCCTCCTGCTGCGTACGCGCCTGGTCACATATGAAAAAATTTATTGTTATTTTGTATACAATAAATGAGATATTTTGCGGGCAAAATAATAACTTATACAATCTTTGAGTGAAAAAAACACACGAAGAAACATGTCGTTGTTATGCAGACTTAGGGTTAGGCCAAACCAAAGTACTGATATGGAAATGATACTGATATACCGTTTCATGTCGAAAGAAGACTAGGTTCCGGTACAGATTGTAAATTACTTGAGAGCTTCCTTAAAGTCAGTTTGTAAGAAAATCACCTGACAATTATTACACATTTCTTTCTGCAGCAGTTGTGACTTTCAACAAGACTGTAGTCAATTTCTTATCATTCCAAAACCTCAGAGTATACTCAGAACTGTTATCTCCTCAAAGGATACTTTCCTTAATCAACGTGACAATGATGGTTTGACGGCTCTTCACCTTGCCACACGCAATGGGCAGTCTGCCGTCGTTGAGCTGTTGGTGCTGCATGATGCCGACCTGAACACGCAGTCAAATCTCGATCGGACATGTCTACATGAGGCCATGATGTTGAAAGAAGCTTCTCTTACCGAAACTCTACGGGTGGTGAGTGACACATATGTACACATATTTAGAAGAAACTTGGAGAATAAAGAACACTTGTAACTTGTAACTTATGCAGGCTCATTATCACGGTCTTCATTTTCTCCTCTTGTTCTTTATATGCGTATTTTTGTCTTCGTCCCATTCCTGAGTCTCCCGTAAGCACTAAACACGGGGATACATTTTGTTACTTCAAATATGATTATTTCAGCGAGGATTCAATATATTTTTGTGTGACCATAGTTTGCGCATGGAATTAATGTATGGAAAATCATCTCAATATGAGAGCTCAATTCCGAAAATCTGACTTTAGCAATGGAAAGAGGAACATGAATTACCGAGTGACGACATTTCCTTTGGAAATGAATGTGAAATTATGAAAATAATTACACAAGATAGAAAAATGTTGCAGTCATTGAGTCCGTTCTATAAACAAAAAAAGTAAAGTTATCGATAAAAGTTTGTAAATCTTGATTTTGAGAGACGATGCATTTAAATTGTCAGTAAAAAGTGGTACCAAATGATTGTAGGTGGTTTGCCTTGCATAAATCAGCTGAAAACTCCTGTTCGTCCATTTAGGTATCGTTGATTTTGGATGATTTTTGTTCATGATTCGACTATCACATTCCTAATATTTGTTTTTTCAAATAAAATCTCCGCGAACTTTGGTGGCTCCATTACACCTACGAAAACCGAGCGAACTTCCTACTATCATAACATTCGAGAGGCTTCTTGAAACACACATTATTTGATTTGTTCGCATTGCTTTTTTATTTAAACCCAAATATACAATCTCCTACATTATGCGCTCTTAAAAAGACCTTTTATAAATACAATTTATTATTATCATTTCATATGATTTACATAATACCAAAGCTTACGTGATATCATTTCCATGTCACTTTATACGATTCCTGCAGTACAAAATGCCTTCCAAGAAAGCTTTGGTAATGTACCTCATCGATCATGGAGCCGAACTCGATATTCGTGACAAGCATGGGAAACTACCAATCCAATACGCCGTTGAAAAGGTCTTACAGCAAGATATAAGGACAAGGTAAAGAAAATATAAATTATCATCACGTTTAAGCCATTGAACACACTCTCTCTCTGTCTTTCATATAACCAAATATACATGAGTTTGAAAAAGCCCACTGATATTTACGTGTACTAATTGAAGTGGAAGAAGGAGAACGAATGTAATACAAATATATATAAATAATATATATATATATATATATATATATATATCAATATGATAACTCTAGTGACATGAGAAACCTTTCAGCTTAGGTAGAATATTATTAAATGAATACAGAGACCAACAGGACGGGAGGCATGACTGACGAAATATTTTTCCTCACATGTTCTTATATTCACCAAACCAGGTTAAACATGCATGTCTTTCAAAACTCTGGCAGTTGTGCTTTCTATGATCAAACCATATTGGAAGCCGTGTTACGTGAAAGAAAACATGATCATTTCTGGGGTTCTTATCTTTGACCAAATCGACGTTTTCTGAAAAGCAATATTAATGGGTTAGTATCATATTAAAATCCTGCATTTACTATTTCAGGGATAAAAACCTGAATTTGATTTAAATGGAAAATAATTGGAATACCCATCATAACTATCATCATCTCCGTGCTCCTTATCATCGTCTCTTTTTTTTAAATGATTTGGTTTCTGTTTATTTATTTGAATCTAGGATGTCTACGGCAAGGCACTCGAAAAGCTTAAAAGGTAACGTTTCTTTTTTGGTCCCGCAGAAAAAACTTGAAGACGTGTCGAGGTCAAAACCTTAGTCCAGGCATTTCGTGGGGAAAAAGGGTCAACCTCTCAATAATGTCCTCTATAACATATCACAATTCTTAACAAAGTTCCATGGCGGCCATTTTTCAAAATGGCCGCCATAAATATGATATTTCCCTATATCTCTGCTTCTAAATAGCATAGAGCTACCATTTTAAAGCCTAAACATACAATTTCAGGGACAAAAATCTATTGAAAAACATTAAAATAAACTAAACCTGGCCTAAAAGCCGAAATGGCAGCCATTTTGCAAAATGGCCGTCATAAACCTGATCTTTCCCAATATTTCCGCTTCTTAAAGACTAAGGGCTTAGATTTTTAGTGCTCATAAAAATACATTTTAGGGGACCAGGAATCAAATGACACACATTGCATTAAGCTAACCATGACCCCCCCCCCCCCAAAAAAAAAAAAAAAAAATAAATAAATAAATAAATAAAAAAATAAAAAAAATGTAAACTATTTCAATACAATGAAAACATATTGGCCAAAACTATTTCAAATAGGGTTCCTGTTATATGAAACAAATTGGCAATTGCCAAACAACACTATATCAAGGCGTTCAGTGCTGCATCAACAGTGTCCCGTACTGCTCGTGCAATTATAGGCCTTGCCTGTCATCATGAGTACCATCGCATTGTTTGCATAGATTAGCTCTAAGACTTTCTGCAGACCTGATCCAGCCATGATAAAGTGTACCCAGGTCGAAATTCCATTAGGATCCGATCCTATTGGACCATCAGAAACCATTAGAGCTATTGGTGTCTAATGGTTTCAATAGGGAAAGTGAAATGATGGACCCACAGAAACCATTAGAAAATATCTATTGGACCAACACAAACCCACAGAAAATTTGCTGATGGACCAACAGAAAGCTTCTATTGGACCAGCATCCACCCATGACTTCTATGGGTTTCTGTTGGTCCATTAGATATTTTCTTCTATGATGGGTTTCTGTTGGTCCATTAGATATTTTCTATGGGTTCCTGTTGGTCCATTAGAGATCTTCTATGGGTTTCTAATGGTCCCATATTCTGAATTCCCTATTGAAACCAATAGTCCAATGGCTTATATTGGTAAATCAATAATGATAAATCAAAATCGATTTTAGCAACTGTCCACCAAAAAAAGTATATTCTAATCTCAATTGCATTTACTTCATCACATAGATCACTTGAAGTGAGTTTAAGAATATCCTTTATTTTAACTGAAGGCTCGTACTATTCTATATAATAAACATACATGAATTGTTTCTTGGTTAGTAATCATTATAATCAATATATCTAGGCCTATTGCTAAAACATGAATGAAATTGTAACATGATTAAACAAATAATCTATTGGTCATTAGTTGCCGAAAGAAAATAAAAATCACAAAATTGATGTAGGCCTACATTGTCATAAGTTGCTTAACAAATTATGATAAATGTCATTTTCTGTGAACACGTATAAAGTAATCATGAATATGCATGAGATAGATTTAGCTGTTGGTTTCTATTGGTTTCTATTGGACCTATTGGTTTCTATTGGTCCCATTGGGTTCTATTGGTCTCATTGGTTTTCTATTGGTCATATCGGTCCTATTGGTCCTATTGGTTCTATCGGTTCTATTGGTTTCTATTGGTCTTATTGATTTATATTAGTCCTATTGGTTTCTATTGGTCCTATTGGTCCTATTGGTTTCTATTGGTCTTATTGGTTTCTATTGGTCCTATTGGTTTCTATTGGTCTTATTGGTTTCTATTGGTCCTATTGGTTTCTATTGGTCCTATTGGTTTCTATTTCTATTGGTTTCTATGGGTGCTATTGGTTTCTATTGGTTTCTGATGGTTTTAATGGTCTCTATTGGATTCAATTCTATGGGTCCAACAGAAACCAATAGACTCCAACAGAAACCATTAGAGACCAATAGAATTTGTCTAATGGTCTCTATTGGTCTCTATGGGATTTTGGACCTGGGTACATTTGCCTTATTACCGTGAGCAAAAGCTTAAAAAAGACCCTTTAGTCTTAGTGAATTTTCTTTGAGATGTAGAATGACCACTAGTATATTTCCGTTTAGAATATTGTTTCAGTTCTTCCCATAATTGACCAATTATCAATTGCATTTAAAATCCCCTTCTAGCCAAGCAGGTGGACGTTGAGTTTCATATTCACCTAGATAGACATCGCATTGAAGGCAGAATGTTAACGGGAGATCTCAGTCAAAAACTCGAAATCACTGTGCAAGAAATAACCGACAGACCAGCTGCCCTCGTTCTAGAGGACGACGAGGCAGTAATTGCATCTGGGCTTGAAGTAACCACCCATGGTCACAATTTCAGCTCTCCGGTAAAAGTTACCATGAAACACTGTGCTGCATTCAAAACCCCGGGAGATGCTCAGATAGTTCTGTACAGTCGAAGCAACGGTATGAAATAGAGAACTGAAAATTCCTTCCTATCATAATTTTACCTTTATCATGCTTATTTCTGAAATCAATATTAGTTGTCTATGTTACTTCAAAATCTTAATATTCAATATGACATTTCGTCGGCATATAGTGCAATGTAAATAGGAGAGTGATGTATCTATTACGCTATCATTTCTCATGTGATGCTTGTTATGTGGGTATACGTGAGGAAACCAAAATTGGAATCAGCATCGTATATGTTTAGTTTAGGGCTCAGTTTGTATTGAGACACGAGATATATCTAAAGACTCTTTTTTTAGAATGAAATCACTGCTTTTCATTCTTTATTATTACATCAACTAGTTCACTCTCGTATCCCATCGAAGGGGTTACACCTCTCTAACTTTTGTTATTCTTTTCAATTTCTTTGTAAATGTTTAGACTCGTTAGGTTTCTCAGCAACCAACCTTTCATCTCTAGGGACTCCACGATGTGATGTTCGGGAAGCCGATCTTGATCTCTACCTGGACCATTTCTGCGAGTTGTGGACAACGTCGAAGGCAGGAGATAATTTCTTCGGAAAACGGCTCATTTGCACTCCGTTTATCCCGCGTTCGGTTAAAAGGAACGACGATGGGGTCGTCCTCATTGAGCTTAAGGATGCAGTGAAATTAGAAGAGGTTCGATAGTAATCCGTATCACTTAATGATCGTCAGGGGGTTGATTACTTATGATAGCATCTCAAAGTTCCCTTAAGATTTATTCAAAGTATAACATCTTATCATAACGGTTACTTTAAAACATCAATTGTGTCGTAGGCCTATTGGAAGATAAAAAGAGACAAGTGCAACTTATAACACCGTATTTGAGTTATATCATGTATTTCTGATTTTGTTTTTCTCGTTTTGTTTAGGAACGATCCTTCGTTGAAAAAATCACGATATTGATCCATTACTTTTGAATAAATGTTCATACAGGATGACATCTTGAACACACACAAAAAAGCGTTTGCCGGAGAGCAGTACATCGTAAAATGGGAAGCTGGAGATCTCACTGTCAACTATGCTGTGGATGATGATGAGACATTGGAGGAAACCAAGGTGAGATACAAACAGCATGATGTTTCTCTTCCGTAATTAATGGATTCAAGTTAAGAAAGGTTGTACATATGTATATATATAGTACAATTATTAATGTGTATTTATTCATATATTGTGTTTATACATGTCTATAATACGGTACGTAATATAAACATAATACATATAGTTCATTTATTAGCTTCTACGAGAAAAAAATGATAAATCAAGACTCTGGTATATCATGTATATAAGCAAATGTTATCGGATTAATTGATAATCATGTTTATTCTTCTCTTGACGTGCTCGAAGAAATATATTTGAGACGTATTTCAAAATAAATTAGTTTTTTTCGAGTACATCAATCCATTGCGTGTATGTATGCAAGTAATAAGTGTGTGCGTGTCTGTTTATATGTGTGTTACTTATTCTATATAACGTTCTATGTTAAAGGAGACATTTAAAATACACTCAAGGCACCTAGAAAGAAGACTCTGCTGACTCTGTGAAACAATATTTCGCCCAAAGGGCTTCATCAAATAATGAAGTTATAGACACACAAACATATTAATATGAAAGGTTTATGATATTTCCATTAGTATCTCTTCACTTAGTTTTTTTTTATCTACGTTTTTATTTTGTGAGTTTATTTATATTATTTTCTTTTCTTCTTTAGGTGCTGTTAATATATTGTTTATTCATTAAACTATTTCAGGAACTAAAGGTAGATGCATTTCGTCACATTACTAACAACCGTATGCCATTTAAACTGAAGGGACGTGAGACCAAAGCTATCGTCACGTTTAAGTTGAAGCAATGGATTTCGAAAGACATCATGTTTCCCATTACGTTTGAAGGTAACCAATTGTACAAATGCCCTCAGAATCTAATTGCAATAAGAAATACAATGAAAATGCTGTTATTGCCTTTTTCTCAACTTTTAATTCTTCCGTTTGAGTTGGCTTATTTCCAACTTGACATATTATCAACATAGATAAGAAATCATATAGAAACATTTCTATAATTCCGTTCGAGTTTTAGCGGTAGCATATTTCCAACTTGACATACTATTAACATAGATATAAAATCATACAAAAACCATTTACATATTTCCGTTCGAGTTTTTGCGGTAGCATATTTCCAACTTGACATATTATTACATAACATAGATATGAAATCATATAAAACCATTTCCATAATTATTTGTTTGCAATGGCGGAAGGCGACAGACTGCGATTCCACAAATATGGGAACCCGAGGGTCACGGGTCACGTGACCAGCTGGGAAGACGGTGCTCTACCCAGCAGGCCCAGTTTCCTGGGCCATTGGTTCCCTACACAAGATCTGGTAATCGCAGCCTGTCCCCACCGTCGGTTCATGGCGCTCTTGGCCATTCCTCTCCTTGAGGCATACTGGAAATGATTATAGTTCAGGAACGAAACAAAAGAACAAAACCCTCTCATTTCGGAATACTAAGACTTCCGGAACAGAAGCTCCAGCCAATAAGCCAAAACCGGCCGACCCTGTCAATAATGTAGTCAAACCAACCATATCACAATAATCAAGCCCAACAAACCATCCATGTCAATAAACGAGCCCAACCAACCATCCATGTCAATAAGCAAGCCTAACCAACCATCCATGTCAATAAGCAAGCCCAACCAACCATCCATGTCAATAACAAGCCCAACCAACCAACCATGTCAACAATCAAGCCCAACCAACCATCCATGTCAATAAGCAAGCCCAACCAACCATCCATGTCAATAAGCAAGCCCAACCAACCATCCATGTCAATAAGCAAGCCCAACCAACCATCCAAGTCAATAACAAGCCCAACCAACCATCCATGTCAATAATCAAGCCCAACCAACCAACCATGTCAATACAACAAGCCCAATTTCTTTCTTTCTTTCTTTTTTTTTTTTTTTTTTTTTCTTTCCACAATCTGCATTGATTTCCATGAATGTTGTAGCCCTAAAAGAACAAAATCACACAGTGATTAACAGATTGTGTACCATTAAAAGAACAATAATGAAACATAATCAATTTGACAATCCCCCCCCCCCCCAAAAAAAGAAAAACAAAACAACAAAAAGCAACCTAGCAAATCTGATGTAGAAACCGCAGGAAAAAAAAAAAAAAAAAAAAAAAAAAAAAAAAAAACAAACAAACAACAAACAAACAAACATGATGTCAATATCATAAAACAAGCCCAATTAACCATCAACCTTGTCCACTACTACAGCCCCATCGTGTCACTTATTCAAGCCCAAACTCTAAGGCAATGACATACGCAGAACTACCAGTCCGGGCAAGTACCACTCCGGTCTCCCTATATACACTTTCTCAATAAAGGACCGCCCCCTCCCCCTGACAACCTCCTACCCAATAATCATGAGCCTAATCCTGCCCGTCCACAAGTCAGCAAGGAATTGAGGGGAGGGAGGGAGGGAAAAACACGACCAACTCAAACGAAGTATTAGCTGAGAATGACCCATTGATTAGTAAAAATACACGTCGTGGGAAACACTTGCCTTGCGACCCCGATATGTATTACAAAAGCGCGCCTATCATTGATATTTACAAAACACGCGTGGTAAAGATTCGGCTTTGTGACCTCAATGTAGGTTACAAAGAGATGCGCCTATGTTTGATATTTGCCGACCTGCTGGGAAACATTCGGTTATTGACCTCAAAATCATTTTACAAAAGAGGCGCGCTATCGTGTGTAGTCACCGGCTTGCCGCATATTTCCGGCCTACACTATTGCATTCTATTACAATTGGGTTTATTTTGATAACATCAAAATAAACGTATTGCAATAAGAAATACAATGAAAATGCTGTTATTGCCTTTTTCTCAACTTTTAATTCTTCCGTTTGAGTTGGCTTATTTCCAACTTGACATATTATCAACATAGATAAGAAATCATATAGAAACATTTCTATAATTCCGTTCGAGTTTTAGCGGTAGCATATTTCCAACTTGACATACTATTAACATAGATATAAAATCATACAAAAACCATTTACATATTTCCGTTCGAGTTTTTGCGGTAGCATATTTCCAACTTGACATATTATTACATAACATAGATATGAAATCATATAAAACCATTTCCATAATTATTTGTTTGCAATGGCGGAAGGCGACAGACTGCGATTCCACAAATATGGGAACCCGAGGGTCACGGGTCACGTGACCAGCTGGGAAGACGGTGCTCTACCCAGCAGGCCCAGCTAGTTTCCTGGGCCATTGGTTCCCTACACAAGATCTGGTAATCGCAGCCTGTCCCCACCGTCGGTTCATGGCGCTCTTGGCCATTCCTCTCCTTGAGGCATACTGGAAATGATTATAGTTCAGGAACGAAACAAAAGAACAAACTCCAAATCCCAACAACCCAATTTTTTTTTTTTTTTTTTTTTTTTTTTTTTGCCTAGCGAAATAGAACCTGGGCATGTGGCAAAATTTATGCACGGCTAACAAAAATAACAAACAATCAACTTTGCGTTATTTTTGTGGCTTTATTAACATTTTGAGAAGGACGCTTATTTTGCACATTTTGATTTTCTGGGTGTCATAACAAAATAACACAGATATATTGAATCATAAAAAATGCTTACAAATGCTAGGCCCCCCGTCTATGAAATCGAGTGATGCCAAGGCTAAACTTATATACATTAAGTCATTATATCAGCCCCCCGCCTATAAAATCGAGTGATGCCTAAAGTTATAGAAAATAGATGTATATATATATACCAGCCTCTCCGCCTGTAAGATCGGATGATGCCTAAGATTAAAGCGTGACACCCTGAGTTTGAAAATGTGTAGGTACAACTAGGTCCCCCCGCATTCAAATCGAATGGGGGCCGGAAAACTAAGAATTGACATGCGAACAAATTCGACTGAATATACATTGGCAACCCCCTCGCATGTAAAAATTGAGTGGGGTCGAAAATTATTGGATGACAATTATTGATCAATAAACTTATCAGTACCATGTGATTAGTGATTTACCCATACAAAACCGGGTAGGGGCGAAACCCAATGGGAAAATTCCCCTACGGCCCACTGTCTTTGTGCACGACGCTTGATGTGCGACCAGGCCAAATGCCCCCGGCTCTGCATTAACTTCATAAATCACTGACCAATTTATTACATAAACCCTATCCGTACCTTTCATACCTGAAACCCTAAATCCTTTCCGTACTAATACGTATACCTTGGCTATACTTCGAACCACCAAGCAATATTTAATTTATGCCACTAATATACTAAAAATACTTTTATTGGTGGAGATATTAAATGGGGAGGTGGTGGGAATGTTTCAGACTCCGAACATTTTTCTTCTTGTCCATTCAAATGAAAGCCATAACTAGAATGAAAGCCCCTTCGTGCTATTTGTAATTTGCTGGCGGTATTTTCCGCGCTTGCTTGATAAGCGTACATACGCTTGTACATTTCCTTCCAATGTAATACAAAGTATTACATTTCCTAGCGCGTGAATTTCCCTCAAAAATGTAAACAACCTCTTGACCTACATTTTGTCAGCCTGTCAATAAACCATTTTAAATCGTAATCTACTCTTTAAATTTCAATATACTCCCGATTGCCCGCAATAAAACAAAGGGCATGCACAAAATAAAGTTCCAAAGATTAAGAACAAATCGAACCGCTGACGCAAAGTTCTCCATGAGAAGATCACATCCCTCATCAGACAGATGCACGCCATCTCTGTGAAAATACCAGTGTTCTTGGACATTGAAATTGTGGCCTATGAATGATCCACTACACATACGCCGGACCCTCCGTCTGGCATACTTGTTGACACCTTTCCGCACATCATTGATGACGACCTGCGACGTGACGTGTACATCATGACCATAGTAATACAGGCGAGTAAGATGCTTGAAAATGAAATGTAGCATTGCGGCAACAATGACCGCGCTGTATTCAGTGCTTCATCCACCGCTTGTCGACAGTCCTTTGCAAAATAACGCCCCAAGTCGTTCGAGCCCGCATGGATGATTAGCTCCGATGGAGAAGGACCGAACCTCACTTGGCCCTGTAATTGACGCGGGAAATCGCGTATAGCGACGCCCCTCCTCGCCCGTGCCATGCCACCTCACAACCAGCGATTCCCAGGTCTCGACAGCCTCTGGTAAACGCCCGCTCACCAGCTCGCCTCACGAGAATGTCTCCGCACACCCAAACCCGGTGAGCCTGGGCACCTATTTGGAGAAAGATAAAAACCAAATTCCTTCCGAGTATGGCGTACCTTTTATGGGCTTATAGAACCAAAGGTTTCTAACATAATTACATAAGCGAAGCAAATTCAATTCTATATAGCATATTATCGCAATGACGACCTTCGTCATTGCCTTGTTTTCGCTCACATTCTGCCCCATTAATATTCTCCTTTCCCTTATCCTTATCGTCAGGAAATCGCATTCGTTTTGCACGTAGTGTTTGTGATTCCTAGTTAGGTGCTTTCCTCATGTCTTTTTCCTTTCAAATTTCATAGGCATAGACTCTAACATCTCATCAAGGTCACTACTTTCTTCGATTTTGGAAATCACCCATGCATGACCGTCCAGGCGCCATTTTGTCCGTTTCTGGTCCATTTTAAGGCCGTTATATCTTCCTTCCCATCCCCACTATCCTAGATCCTACAAACTTTTAACAAATTCCTCTAGATAGTCTGAGAGATGTCCTTTCATCTGCGACGGATGACTTGACCTTCACAATGCCATCTCCATACTCGAATTTCAAATCTAAAACCGACTCCTCCAATAAATCTCAAGTTCTTGAAAAATGGACCCCTAAACAATCTAAAACTGCCATAACTTTCTCATATAAATTCCGTTTTGTTTTTAAATCTCACAGTATCTTTATCTCATAATTGCACATAGCCGTGCCAAATTTCACGCTCCAATGGCTTTGCACAACATAAATAGCGCCCTCTAAAGTTTTAGGAATTGGCTTTCTCTCTGTGGCCGTATCTTCATAATGGCTTGGCAAACCCGTACCCTTTTTTGGATTTAGATACTTGAAGATATGTCCTTTCCAGCCATATACAAAATTATATACCCTAACACTGACCAAATTTGAGAAAAATTGCCTTCCAAATTCGCCATTTTCGAGAAAATTCCGAAATAACTTCAACTTACTCTAAAATAACGATCTTTATACCTACATCAATGAAACTTGGCAGACACATGTATCCATATACGTGACAACTGACTGCCAAGTTTGGTAAAAATCGAATACGTCAGCGCAAAGTTATCGCCAAAAATGATGAATTTACTATGCGTTACGTAATAGCGCCTTTAATGCGTGTAGTACATTGCGCGCAGATGACAACGGTGTCAAACTGACCGCAATGAAGTGCCCTTTCGAATGATACCAAGTATGGTATA